TAGGCAAAATTAAAAGCCATTATTTAATGAGAGTGCTTTTATCTCATGCTTTTTGTTAAGGTGGAAACTGATGAAGAACTTTTCCAGTTAAAGCAAGCCTTGCTGATGGTTTTTTCATTTTAATCCTTTTCCCCCTAAAAGAAGGTATAAAACCAGGTGGGATTTGATCACGTTTTGTATGGGGGTATATGAAGAAGTCTGGACCCACCACTGCCGCCCTCGGGGGACACCTGGTGGAAGCATCTTTGCCCCCAAAACCTTGTGTCTAAAACCTCCTCCCCAAAAACCTTCTCCCCAAAAGCCTTCTCCCCATGCCTCCTTCCCAAAACCTTGCTATGCCAGCCCATAGGATTTGGATTGCTCTCAGGCTGCAGAATAGGGGTTTGTGCCTAGAGGGTCCTGGGACCATGGCTGGGGCTTGACTCCAGGATGTTTCCAATCACCACTGGATGTAGAAACACAAAGGCTTGGGCCATGATACCTCCTTATGTAAATCATCCTTGGAGACCCTCTCATTCCTTCTGGATGAGGACACCACCTCCTGATCTCAGTTTTCCAAGTGAAATATTGAATGCACACCATCGTTACAGCGCTGTGCTCCAGCACAGGCATGCATGATGCTCATGCAGCTCCCTGGGTGCACAAAACCAACTCGGACAAGGGCATTTCAAACCCTGCTCCATCCAACCGCAGGAAACTCAGCTGTCCTTCCTCAGGGAGCACACGGAGCTGCACCATTCCCGAGCATGCAGCATCTCTGCCGCAGGGCTCCAGATGCTCAACGGCACCTCCGGGTTTCACTTTCAGCTCAGCCTTTCCCAGCAGCTTGTAGGAGGGATTTAGGAAAACGAGCACGTTCCAGTGCGCTGGCAGGGATGGGAATGGGATAATTGATGTCTCAGTGGCTTTGATCACATCCTCCTTGTCAGCAAAAGGCCGGTCATGGGCAAGGGCCTGTCCGGAGGGTGAAAGGAACACTCGCTGGAAGGGGAATAACTCAGTGGGATCATGCACCCTCAGAACACCAAGGAACCAACACGAGAGGAGATCAGCGTTTGTATGCGAGGAAGCATTTTCGTTGTATTTTGGGTAATGCAACAAAACTCCAGTGACCTTCTGGATGCAAGCAGGAACCAGCAGGCCTGGGTGTACCCATGTGGCTCACAGCCAACCCACAGTCCCTGGGCCTTATTTCTGACCCTTTTTCCTTGGCTTCTTCAGGAGGACAGGGGGGTCACCAGGAGGGGGGAGTCCCAGAAAGAGCGGTCCCCAGGACAAGGGTCCATGGAAGCAGGGTGTCCCTGAGAGGAAGGGTCCCTGGGATAGGGATTAATGGGAGAAGGGGCTCTCAGGAAGAAGGGATCCCGAGGACAGGGGTCCATGGAAGGGGATTCCAGGGAGAAGGGGCTGCCTGGGATAGGGGTTCATATAAAGACAGGGGTGTGGGGGTGAGAAGAGAGGGCTCTTAGGACAGGCGTTCCATGGGGAGAGGGTTCCCAGGAGGAAGGCATCCCCAGAGGAGGGCTCCCCAGGGCAAGGGTCCATAGGAGCAGGGTGTACATGGAAGCAGGGGTCCCCAGGATAGGGATCCATGGGAGAGGAAGGGTCCTGGGAAAAGATGGGGTCCCAGAACAAGGGGTCCATAGGAGTGGGTTCCCTTGAGAGAAGCATCCCCGGTGAGGGGGTCCCCAGTGCGAAGGGTCCCGTTCGTTGGGGTGTGTGTGGGGGGGGTATCTCTCGGTAGGCGGGTACCGGCGCTGCGGCCCCGCCCGGTCCCTCGGGGCAGCCCCGCTCCGCCCCGCTCCGCTCCGCCCCGGGGCGGTGGTACCGCGGTGCAGGCGAGGCGAGCTCTCGCCCTGCGCCGGGCCGGTAGCGGAGCGGTGAGTGCTGGGGCCGGGGGGGTTCGTAACGCTGCGGATGGAGGTGGGAACCGGGAGAGGGGGGGACCGGCTGGAGCGGGGGAGACAGCCCCCCCCCCCCCCCGAGGGGTGTAAAACGGGAAGGGGAAGGAAAGGAGAGGAAGAGGAGGAGTTTTCAGTACCTGCCGGAGCGCGTCATTGCCCCGGAGTGAAGGCTGTGGGTGTTATTGATGTGTTCATTCAGGTTTCGTGGCTGGGCGAAGAATGGTGAGGAGCGGGTGTTTGAAAGGGGTGTTTTTGGGGGAGAAGGGGGGAGGATGGAAACACTCATGGAGCGCCCCCAATCCCGTACCCGCTATTAGTGACCGGTGGAGCTCCAGAGCGCTGGGTTCGGGCGGGATGCGAAGGGATGCGGGCTGCGGCGGAGGGGGGGATGCGGGAGCCGGGCATTCCCTCACCCTGCAGTTCCGTATCGGTCCGGAGGGTTGGAGGCTGCGGTGCTGGGGTTCATGGTGCTGCTCAGCCCGAGACGCGGTTGTATCCGTCGGGATTCAGGCGGGGAGGAAAAATCATCCCGCTTTAAGAATGCATAAATAAAGCATTGAGCTTAAATAATTTAAGACCAGTAACAAGCACCTCAGGGTTTTCCTTAAGTATCATTTAGGCTACTGTCTGCTTGCAGCGAGATCAATAGTCTTATATGCTTATCTGTTGTTCACTGGTAAGTTGATTGCTTTTTCCACAAGCACATTAAGCTGAGGTTCACCCCATCCCTAGTTTGGGTTTTTAGCTTTAAAACCAAGGGAAACCTGAGGGGCAGCACTAAATCCCATCCACTGGCCCTTCGAGACCAGTGTCAGGTTGGTCTGGGGAAGGCCCTGTAAGAAGGACAAGCATCCTTGATGTGGAATTGAGGTACAAACCCAGTGATTGCTTTGATTGAGATGCCCACAAGTAGCTGTGTTTCAGCTGTTTCTCCTGTCGGGATAAGGTCATAAGGAAGTGGCTGAATTGGAATGTTTTGGAATGTTTTCATTTTGTCTGGTCTTATTTGAATGAAATCTCTTGGCAGCTCCTTTTCTGTTCAACCTTTGGGTTCATTTCCACATCTGGAGCTTCTAGAACGGTTTGGGTTTGGTTTTCCAACCGTTTTCTCCCATTCAAGTGATACTTCTTCAGGGCTCCCTGTGTGCTGTGTGGCTTCATTAGCTTAAGTGGAAATGGCAGGTGGAATATCAAGAAATCCATTGACAGGCTGCAAATGACCCTTCCTCCAACCGAGGTGATGTAATTAAAGCATGGAAAGGCTCCAGGGAGGACGTGGGAGTATTGCTGTTTGGTAGTTTATAAGTGGATAGAAAATAATTAAAGCAGGAGTAACTGGTGTTGGTGATTCAGTCTGATTAAAGCATCTTTACCAGGGCTTTTTGCTGCTTAAAATAGAGAAGACCAAGGAAAAGGGTCGCTGCTTTAATACAGTTGCACAGCGTTCACTAAGGACCTCAGTGGAGCCTCTCTTGTAAGAGCTCTTGAAACCTGCTCCTGAAAGCAAACAGAGGCAGCCCAAGCACTTAAGGGGGCACAGTGCGAGCAGAGGGCAGCAGCCTCTTATTTTTTATGACCTGTAAGCAATAGCTGCTGCTTTTGATTAATTCCAAACCACTGTGCTGTCATTTTGAAGCTCTAAAACACCCAGAGGAGTTGTATGCATGTTTTGTGTGAGGATCGGCTGTTAGCACAGCTTCATGTTTAAGCATTCATTATTCTTTCTGTCAAAATCTTTATGGTTTTCCTTTTCAGAGTAGTTTCCATGGGGCTTTATCCAGGTTCTAGGTGGGATCTTTTCCCAGGGTTTTGCTTCCAGTGACCTGCAGCCATCACGGGCCCTAGTGCTGGGTCGTTGCATAGGGAAGGACCCCAGCACCCAGCAATGGAAGCTGTGATCAGTGGGTCCGGGTGCTCTCAGACACCTTTCCCCTCCTCTCCTTCCTCCTACCCCTGGAGAAATGCAGGAGCAGTTCATGTACATGAAGTTGTTGGGGCTCAGCTCGCAGCAGCAGCGCTGGCATGTCAGCAGCCTCGTGTGTTTCTGTAGTTAGGTGATGCCTGTGCTCCAAAAATAGGTTTCCATATTAAAATACAGCTGGGGAAGGAAGCTTGAGCCATGTGTTGTCTGACAGATAACAGCGGAACCAGGTCCTGACGCAGGGCTGCTCTGAGTGTGCAGCCACCAGAAACATCAGTCTGCTTCTGGAATGAGTGTTGGTAGCTGGAAAGCATGGAATATGGGAAATCCATTGAAATCTACCTGTGTTTTAGTTGAAATAAGGAGAAATGACCTGGTTGTAACCTGTGGAATGTTGGTGTGGGTCTTATGGCTGGAAGGGGTGGTTTGGTCCAGACCATCGCTGACCTCTAGGCTTAGTCACTCATGGCTGTATTTCATCTCCACAGATGAGGAAACAGGGAGAGATGCGGATTAACCAGTGACTCCAAGCCTTGGACAGCAAGGTGGTGGCAAAGCAGGATAGAAACCTGGTGGTTCCTCAACCTGCCATCCCTCACAGGTATTCCGGGTGGGATAGGATGCTCTCTCCTGGAAGAGCATCTTCAATTCTATGTTGATTTCTTCTTCTATTTCCTAAAAGATTATGTTCAGCACCACTGTGCTGTGCAGGTGGCCCAATGAGAAGGGAGAAAGTAATGAAAATCAGTAGTGTTGGATCTGCTCCAGGATGCAAAGGGGTTACTCACGGTTAACTGGACAGTTTGCCCGGGGTGAGGTGGCTCTTGGTTTTGGATGCACAGCTCTGGCTGGCTGCCATGTGATGGACACTGGCATCATGCTCTGAGAGAAAGGCTTTGATTTGTAGTTTATAGTAGCAAACTGAGAACAAGCCCAGGTTAGCTCAAGTCCTGTTTGCATTGGGCTGATCCCACCTTTGCACAGAGGATGGCTTGGGGTAAATCAGTAAAGCTTGTAAATCAGTGCTACTAATTTGTGCCTGTCACTGCAGCTAGCATGTGTATGCGAAGGCATTTAAAAGATGAGAAACTGAAAAGTTTATATGAAAATAGAGAAATATGAGCTGCTGAATGACGCAGCTGCCTGGCTTTTGCTCTTTAAATTGTTTTGTCATTTAATGTAGATCTTTTCTTGTTTGCTTCTTAAACAAGCTACTCTTGAAAGATGGCACCAGCTGCTCCAAGAGAAGCAGGAGTATGGAGGCAAACGAGAGCTCTCCTATTCAAGAACTGTCTTATTAAGTGCAGGACTAAAAAGAGCAGCGTTCAGGTAAGTGGAGCACTTGCTGCTGCCTTTGTGTCTGCTGTTATTCTGCAGTCAAGTGGTTCGTGAGTCAGAGCTTTGTTGCAATGCTTCTGAAGCTTCACAGTGCTCTGAGTTTTGGGGTGGAATAGGGCTTTTGAGAAGGTATTTTTGTGGTTGAAAACTTATCCTGAGGTGTAAGACATTATCCTTATATTGATATTGCAATCTCAGTGCACATTTGCACCCGTATCTGGGTGTTATAGCAGGATTTGACCTCTCCAAAAAGGTTTTATCTTTCCTGACAGTTCACCCCTGTGCATAGGTGATGTGTGTAATACGTTAAGAGTCATTTTGAAGTAAAGAGGTGGTTCAGTGCTTGGCTAGAGTTGTTTAACGGTTCATGCTGTGTGTTTTGCTACTTTCCACCCAAACAGCGCAAGTTTGCTGATACTTAAAGCATGTAGAATTATCCCTTTGTGCCTTAAAGTGGCTTCTTAGGTTACTAATGCATGCGATTAAAATCCTGCTGCAGTGCCAGGGAAGGATTTGGCATTGAGATTGCTGGTGCATTGCAAATGTTCAGGGAAATTTACAGGAACAAGGTGATTAAACCCAGTCCCTCTTTAAGCTTTGTGTAACTATGAGAAACCGGTGGAAGGTTTCATTCCTGCACTTGCTCTTTGGAGTTTACACCTTTCTTCCTTTCTTTCCTCACCCAGGAGGTCCTGTTCCCACTCTTCTTCTTGTTCTGGCTCATTCTGATGAGCATGATGCACCCGCATAGGAAGTACGGTGAGGTGGCCAACACCAACCTCGGCACCCTGGATACCTCCATGCTGGTGAATTTCATCATCGGGTACACACCACCGACCCGGATGGCGAGGGAAATCATGAAGAAAGTGGCTTTTGATAACTTTGAAGATGGTATTTATACACCAAGTGTCTTGTTTTCCTCAGTATATCTCGCGCTGAGGCTTGTGGCTTGTGTTTGTCACTGGTGATGATAGGAGAAAAGCATTTCTTGTCTTTCTTTTCTGCTCAGACAGAGACTGTGAAGGCGTTTTTTCTGCTTGGCTGGCAAATATTCTGGCACTGCCATTCCCCAGCGATTCCCATTCTCCTGCTGCAGCCAACAAGTGTTGTGCGGCTGCTGGAAAGGATTTGGGATGCCCCAGTGCAAAGTACAAAAAGGCCCTGGGCAGCTCAGGGGCTAATTCATACTTGTCCTGTCATCCTGGGGCAGATTCAGGAGATGGTGCTGTCCTGCAGGTGTTTTAGGTTGTGGTTTCTATCCTGTTGTTACTGTCACAAGAGCATCTTTATTTCTGTTTAATTGCTATTACCACTGTGTCACCTCCACTTTTGAAAGGTATTTACTTTTGTTTTCCTTTTTTAAGTGCTTTGCCTACACACCTTGCATGTAAGTGGTGTCTTTGATTCTCTTTCTTGTGCTGTGCATGCTTCAGAGGAGCTGGAGAACCAGCCCAACATCTGCATTTTCCATATGGGTGCATATAGTTCCACTTGCTTCCTTCAAAGCCCATCTTATTCCCACCCTCTGCTGAAGTTGGTACAAATACCATGTTTTCATATAAATAGCCCAATGTACCACTGAATCTGCCCTTCTTGAAAAGCATTGGTGCTGGAGAATAAACTTTGGGATAGCTGGCAGAGGATTGGGGCTCAGAAGCTGTTGGAGCAGCAAAAAATAGGGGTGGGAAAGAGAAGATTCAGGGATAAGATTAAATTTTATCCTGGTACTGAGCAACAGTTTCTATTTAGGAGCATACTTACTTCACTGGGACAAAAATACAGCCTTATGTATCTATAGCTCTATCTCCAAAAGGAAATAAATCATTAATGGTTATCATGATGCTTCTTTACAAGTGATGCAGTTTTTCTCCCTGCTGTGCTGATACCTAAATCAGTGCGATAATGTCCTCTATCTCACAGGTATCATCACCGAGGAGTATTTAAGTGAAGAGGAGCTGCAAGAGGCCAGTGCTTTTAAACCCTCAAACTTTGTGGGTGTTGTGTTCAATGATGCCATGTCCTACCAGCTGAGGTTCCACGATTCGGTCGCTATGTCTTCCATCTACATGGAATCGAGAGGTGAATGTGCACACTCTGATATGTGTTCTGTAAGGGGATAAACTGAAAGGTCATTCCCATCTTTACATTAGGCATGGGACAGATTAACTCTGGCTGTTTGCATTTTAAAATGCCATGTTTCATTCTGCAGCCAGTTGTTCCAACCTGCGGAAAGGATGTGAATCAGTGATGTACTGGAGCTCGGGGTTTATAGCTCTGCAAGCCTGCATCGATGCTGCAATCATACAGGTAAATCTGATAATGTCATTAAAGCACGAGGTTCAGATCCATGGACTGCCTGGGCTCTGACTGGTTTTGTGATGTTATCTGTTAATGGTATAAAATGCCATATCAAAAATAAGCTTTGAATCAGATGAGAAGAGCAGCCTGGTCTCATGGAAGGTGTCCCTGCCCATGGCAGGGGGTTGGAACTGGATGAGCTTTAAGGTTTCTTCCAACACAAACCATTCCATGACTCTATTTCATGTTCTTCTTATCCAGTTGAATAATGTGGACATTTGTCTTCATTTGTGTCCAGTGCTGGAGGCTTGTGTTAGACATCAAAACACATGACACCCCAAAAAGCTATTTCAAATGCTGGACCAAAAGGCGCTGCAGAATTTGCTGTACTATTTTGGTGTCATCATTTGCCAGCCATGCCCTTTTCCCTGCTGCTCTCCCATCATGATGCTTGCAGTGAGAGCCAGTCCTGTATTTTTAGGCAATAGGAATTGCAAAAATTGTTAATTTTATGTCTTAGCATCCAGATTTTCTCCAATTCTGTGCTTTTGAATTGGGATTTGGGGACTGTAGGGGTTTGGGCTCTCCAGATCTCTCCCTGTTAGTGACAGCACATAAGGGCTGAGCTGGAGTTCCTGCTGCTGGGTTGGATAGGGCTGCAAAAGTGATGCAAAACTTACTCTTCCTTCCCTTCCTTCCAGCTGAAGACCAATCAATCTGTTTGGGAGCAACTTGAATTTACAAGAGCCGTGGTTATGGGAGAGGCTGCAGTGGTGGAAATAGATAATTTTCCCCGTGCCATCATTTTAATTTACCTGGTGATCGCTTTCTCACCGTTCGGGTATTATCTGGCCATTCATATCGTGGCAGAAAAGGAAAGGAAGTTGAAGGAGTTCTTAAAAATATTGGGACTTCACGACACTGCCTTTTGGTATGTGAGTGTTTGAGATAACCCATTCTTGATAAAGGAAATGTGAAATATATAAAGAAATAGAAAAACTAACATTTTCTAGGAAACAGTTCTGTCCCATCCTCCAGGTTTTAGTTGTTTGCAGGCTGATGAACTGGAAGCAGCCTAAAAGTGAGATGCTCCATAAGATCTATTCAAAGAGAAACTTGTAGCATCATTTTAACCAGTAAACACCAAAGCGATGCTGTTGCATTCATGAAGGGAAAGTTATGCCTGACTTAGAGGGTTTAAATGTGATGATGTGTGAGATTTTTATGCAGTTTGATTTTTATTGGTTTTGAGTATTTTTGGCTCAGTGCCTCCTTTTCTGGTAACCTGCAGTTTCTCTTCAGAGCTGAGCAGCAGTTTCCGCAACACATGATTAAATGAATCTAACTCTTATCATCTTAATGTGACAGAGCAGTCTAAGCAACAGGCTTTAATTTGTTTCCATACCATGATGAAAATTACTGTATGCAATGTAATATTTGGGCTTTTTTTCCAAATGAGGGGATGTGCTGATTTGAAACCATTGGTAGCTGCAGAGATAAAAATGGATTTAGGTTTGCCCTTTGCTGCAGGGGCCAACAGCATTTTAGCATCTTTCACACCAGAACAGCTAGTTGGGTTATTTTTGTCTGGTTGCTTTTGTTTGGTTTCTGCACCCAAGCTTTTTCGTGCCAGTTCTGGTTATTTGTGATACATCCTTAGTGATAAATCCCGTTTAGTTGGCCCATCACCTGTGGCGTTTGTCATCTATCCCCACTTGCCTCTTTGCACGTGAGCGCTGAGCATCTCTGGTCCAGAGAGCAATGGGAGCGATGTGTGATGGCACACTGGTAACACAGCTCTGATCAACCACTGACTGTAGCTCAGAAACTTGCTGCTGTAGAAGATGTGTCGTTTTTCACTGCCTGTTCACAACCCCCTCCTCGTTTCCTGAGGTCAGAATTGCTCCCAGGCTTGCAGCTCTGTTTTTACAGAGAAAAGGATTTTATTACCCAGCCCGGCTACTGGAATGACCAGTGTATTAAATATTAAATAGGATTTCTTTAATTATTGAAGCCTGCTGCTCACTTACCCTCTTCTGGTGATATCAGGAAATTAATGGTGCAAGTTTAAATAATATAAAAGTCATGAATCATCTGATTGTGGAACTTTGGTGCTGTGGGTATTGATGTGTGTGTTCTAATGCCTGGAACAATCACAGGGATGTTTATAAGAGAGCTCTTTATCTGGGGGCTCTTGTTTTGTTGCGAGCTTGTCCTCTGGTGCAGCTGTTTGGAATGTTAAAGAATGGTGGTTTTAGCTGTTTGTATGTGGGGGTAATTCCGGCTGGGAATTCACTGACTGATTTCTGGTCTTTTTTCCCCTGTTTTGCTCCTAGGCTTTCTTGGGTGCTGCTTTACATGAGCCTGATTTTTGTCATGTCCATTCTTATGGCGGTGATTGCAACAGCCTCTTCCCTCTTTCCCCAAAGCAGTGCCTTTGTGATATTCTTACTTTTTTTCCTGTATGGAGTCTCTTCAGTAAGTATTCCTGGTCTCACTGAATTCATCCATCCCATCCCTGTGGGGTTTTTCCCTTCCCATCTGATCTTGTTCTCTCTATTAAAGCATCTGGAACAAACACAGCATCTGCAGGAGCAGTTGGCAGTGAGTGTGTTACCCATCCTCATCCCATTCCCCAGGTCTGCTCCAGTTTGGATGCTGTGACCACTGAAACCTGCACTATCAGAAACACCTTTCCTTACTGAAATACCTGAGTTTATAACCATGGGGTTTTGAACACTGTCTGTACAGCACCATTTTGAAGTCCAAAGCCATGCCCTCTTTAAACATTGGCTGTTGCTATATAGTGTAATATTAAAACCCTAATTAAGGGTCAGACAATTAATTTATATAGCAGTTTTTTCCCTTATAATATTTTCCTGCATTCTGTTACTTGGCACCTTTGGGAGCTCTGCCCCTCCCAGTGGTCTGTTTGTAAGGGAAATGTGGGATGTGGGTGAATGCTGTAGCGACTACCAGGAAAACGATGTGGTTATCAGAGGGAAAATTGAAGCTATGGTCTTTTTACTTTGGTTTTCATATACCCTGTAATATCTCTTAATATAGTACCTTATTACCTCTTTCTGTAATCTGTTCTTAGGTTTTCTTTGCACTTATGCTGACACCTCTCTTTAAAAAGTCAAAACATGTGGGCATAGTGGAGTTCTTGGCGACGCTGGCTTTTGGTTTTGTGGGCCTTAACATTGTCCTGCTGGAAGATTTCCCCAAGTCTTTCGTGTGGATCCTCAGCCCCTTGTGTCAGTGCAGCTTCTTGATCGGCATCGCGCAGGTAAATCACCACCTTCTGCTCAGATTGCAGCCTCACCGTGCTCATTCGTCTGGTATCATCTTCAACCAGGTCTTGATGTAGCTGAATTATGATGATTTTCTTTAATAAACTGATGGTGTTGGGGGAAAATGCTTATTTTAATAGCTTACCCCAGCAATTTAACATCAAGGGCACCATCAAGCAACTGGTTTTCTTTGTGTTCGTTGCTGTGATCTCAGTCACTTTTTCATTGCTTTATTATTGCTGTGTTAAGGTTGCTCTTCTGTCTTCCTAGGCTGGAATAGTGCTGGTGTGTTAACATCTTCCTCTGTCTCTGGATGTTGACAGGTCATGCATCTAGAAGATTATGAAGATGGTGCAACGTTTTCTAATCTAAGTCACGGTCCCTACCCGCTCTTCATCTCTCTCATTCTGTTGGTGCTGGATAGCATCTTTTATCTGCTTGTAGCTGTCTACCTGGATCAGATTATGCCAGGTATGTTCATGAGAAAAACTGAACTGTGCTAGCATCACCAGTTCCTGAGGTCCTGAGCCCCAGGTTGACACAGCTGGTGACAGGAGAAGGGGAATGGCTTTAGGCTGACAGAAGGAATGGCTTAAAGGTCCCTTCCAGTACAAACCAGTCTGGATTCTATTTCTGTCTGAATTTCGACTGTGGAGAAAGGAAGTGGTGCTGTTTGCAAATACATTTTACACTGTGACTCAGAAGACTTTAAGCTGAAATCAGTTGTTTCCTGTTAAAGGTGTGAGATGGGAGGGGCAGTGTCAGCACATTTAGAATCACAGTGGCCATTAGGCACTCCAGCTAACTCCTGTTTCTCTCTAGAGGAAAAGCTTCCTTACTGGGTTAACCAATGCCTCAGCCTTTGCAAATTGCTCTTATAGGGTTGATAATTGAAGACTGCTCTGCTGTTCCAGACCTTTCCCTGTGACAGCAGTAGTTTAACATGAAACACAGAATACAGTTGTTTTTCTTGTGTCTAATGCCTGGTTGAGCCCTTCAGCAGCCTCTGCCTCTGTTCTCTCTGGTTTTTAAGCCTGTGTTTAAGTCACTTTTCTTTCAGCACTGGGGATTTCTCTTGCCTAGAAAGAGATTTGCACGTGTATTTAGATACTTAGCTGAAACTGGAGCCTGCTTGCAGTGTTGATGGGAGCCACAGCTTAAACGCAGATAATGTAAACTTGGCTGATGGAATCCCTCCAGAACGGGATGCAGGCTGACTCCTGAGCCTTTAGCAGCGTTAGCTCATGGCTTTTAGAGCTAAAAGGCAAATTCAGAGGAATATCTGCAGTTACTGTTAAGAAACTGGCTTTTTCCCTTTGCTGTCCAGGGGAGTTTGGACTGCGCCGCACGCCATTCTTCTTCATGAAGCCCTCCTTTTGGTCCAAGCACAGAAAGAACTACAAGGAACTATATGAGAGCAGTGTCAATGGCAGTTTAAGCTTCAGTGAGATAGTTGAACCCGTGCCTTCGGAGTTCCAGGGGAAGGAAGCCATCAGGTACAGTTCCTGCCCTGTCTCACGTGCAGATTAACAGATCACCTGGATCCTGATGTTTTGTTGTGCAGCTTGAAAACCACTTATTTATCCAGTCTATGCTGGATTCAAATAGCATATGGTATGCATTGCAGAGAGCCCTCCACACATGCACCACGGTTACTTTCCATCTTCAGTGAAGGCCCGTCATCAAGGACATGGATGCCCTCCAAGGACAGATCACTGGGCTTAAAGAAAGGGTTTGTTTGTGGATTGTATTCCTTTAGCTGGAGTCCTCTCAAAACCGGCTGCTTTTCCATTCCCTCAGTTGCACTGAGGCCACAAGAGGCATAAGCGGTTGCAGATGTTGAAACGCCTACTCTTCTGGGAGGGTTTAGTTTCTGGTAACGTGCTTTTGAGGAGGAAAAGCTGAATTCTAGGTCTGTGTGAAGGCTGATGTGTCCTCTGTAGACCAGAGGGGAACTTTGTGGCTATTTTACCCATATATCAGGGTAAAACAGAACTGAAAGAAGGATGTCTGTGCTTTTGTCTTTCACACTGCATTTTGTGTCACCTGATGTCTTGCATCTGCACTGTCATGTGTTTATTGCTGTTTCCCAGATGTTATTTTCAGTATCTGCTTTTTAGCCCGTGGTTCCACAGGTTTCCAATGGCGTAGCCTGATGTGAGCTGGGGAACTCTGCATCTTCACTCCTCCTGGTTGGCTATGTGAGCCTTAAATAACTATATGAGCTTAGTGACTAGGATGAGTCTTGTATTGTCCACACTACCCATATCTCTTTGGGCATCTGACATAGGTTGAAGGGTCCAGTCTTAATCCTGATTTTCACATTATAGTATTGTGGCTGGTTTTGCATCATTTACTCACCCTGGACTCTTGCCATAGCATCCCTCCATCAGCCCGCCATTGTTTTTGCACTATCTTGTCATCTTTATATGTACAGGTTTTGTTTTCTCTCATACCCAGTTCTCCGTGCTATTCACACCTGTAATCCACTCCCCTTCCTCATTTTCAGGCTGGCCAGGATTCCTAAACGCATCCTTCATATGGTGCCTTCAGATAAACTGGTTGGGATTTTTCATTTTGGAAAGCAGTGGGGCTGGACGAAGGTGTTTTGCCTTTCTTTAGAGAAAGATACCTACTTTCTTTTGCCTAATTTTGATCAAGAGCTGCCAGTAATCACATCTTTGGAGTCTGTTCTACTAACACCTCTTTTCTGTATCGTGTCTTTTGAGTCTTTTGTTGTACTGTGTAGCTAGTGGGGAGGAGCTGTTGCCTTTTCTAGCTTGGGAAACCTCTGGTGCATTGCTGTGATTTGAGAAAGAAACACAGATTTGAAATAATTCAGCATATTATCATAGGAGGTACCTTAGAAGGTGACCAGAAAAGGTTTTCTGATACCAGGATGGAGGTGGACTAAGTTCTGTGTCAAGATGTCCTGTCTCTTGACTTGCTTCTATGGGTCTTTAACGTGTCTAGTGCCATTTTAGTATGGTCTTCTTGTTGTGACTGTTGCCAAGTGTTGATCATTCAAAATGACATACAAAGATCCTAAAATAGTTTATAAAATGGCATGTCTTCTTTCAGAATCAGCTGTGTTCAGAAAACATTCAGGAAAAAGGGGGAAACTGTGGAGGCTCTCAGAAGTAAGAACCTTTTAGCTTTATAGCTGCTTACCAGGTGCAGGGCAGCGATAGCTGAACTGTTGAGTGATCTTTTGTGTTTCACTTTGGGCTTTTTGGTTACTTTTGTGGGGCTGGGCCTTAAAGCATGATGCCAGATGTGCTTGTGTGTGTCCTTGTCATATTGAGAGTAATCTTGTTTAAAATGGTACCCCAAAAGGGGAGCCCTTCCATCACCAAAGGAAGCCCACTGATGTCATCCCCGTTACTCCTGTGCCCGTGTTGTTAGTGGTATGTTCTTTCCCTTCCCTATGTGGCTTTTAAACGTGGCCACCCCAAAGTGGTGCAGGGGCTGTCCCAGCCCCAGCAGTGCCATGCTACCACAGGGCATGGAGGTGAGGTGTCCCCTTAAACAAAACCTAAATCCATACCCCACATATTAGTATTTGAATGTACCCTTGTGGTAGGAGCCGGCTCCAGGTACCACGAGAACACCACTAACCTCTTCTCTTCTTCTTGTGCCTGCCTTGGGGACCAGATTTATCCTTTGACATCTATGAAGGTCAGATCACGGCTCTGCTTGGGCACAGTGGGACGGGGAAGACGACGCTGATGAACATCCTCTGTGGGCTGTGTCCACCAACAGACGGTGAGCTTCACTGACACTGGAGTCAGGAGACATTGAGCATCCTGCTTTGAAAAACCAAAGCTGTTGACCTTTGGTATTTCAGGATGCACCAGGTTTTTCTCTGGATAACATCCACTTTAGGTCTGTGTCCACGCTAGCCTGCTCTTTGGCAGTGACAGCACCTCTCCATTGATTGCTCCTGGCTTTTCTTTTATAGGGTTTGTTTCAGTCTATGGGCACAAAGTCTCTGAAATCGATGAGATGCTCGAAGTGCGACAGATAGCGGGGGTGTGCCCTCAGTCTGACATCCACTTCGATATACTAACTGTGGAGGAGAACCTCTCCATATTTGCTGCAATTAAAGGAATCCCTCAGAATGATTTGATACAAGAGGTAATCAGATACTGTCTGTATTTTAACCTGTATGACAAAATACCCTTACACGGTGCAGGGATTTCCCTAAGACAAGTTTGCAGGGAAATACTGTTCTACAGTCCAATAGACAAAGTGGTACAGGCAGATTTCTTTACAAAGATAAATTGTCAGTTATTTGTAGGAGATTAAAATGCTCATAAAGTGTTTTAAATCACAGCATTTCTATTAAAGCATAGGCACCTTTTAAGTTCTTCTGGTCTGCTCTGGATGTACAGCTTCATTAGCAGGGTGTGCAGTTCAGATACACCGAATTAGGAACAGTTAATTTGAGTGTTATTGTTAATAATCTGGTTAAAAAACTTACAGGTTTTTTTAACAATAAATATGTTCTCTGTGTTTTACAGGTGCAGAAAGTGCTGTTGGATTTGGATATGCAGCCTATCAGAGACAACCAAGCTAAAAAATTAAGTGGGGGGCAGAAGAGGCGGCTGTCGGTGGGGGTTGCTGTTCTTGGTAACCCAAAGGTGAGTGTGATGGAGAAGTTCCTCACTTGGTGTCAATAATACCCCTAAGGGTGGGTGTTTCTTGTCAGAACCATGCTAATAATGCTAATAAGATGTAGTACTATGTATGTATATATGTAATAATAATGCTACTAATAAGTAAGAGGTGGAGATTATTACTTTGAAATTGTTCCTTTTCTCTTTGCTTATGGTTTAAACAATTAAAATCACTTCAGTAGCTCAACCTTTGTAATTAAGGATGTTAACGGTTTAGGTAATGGCAGTGGTTCTGGATTTGACCTCTTTGTGAAATAAATAGCATTGCAAGCTTTATATTGTTTCTGACAAGATTTAGCTCCCGAGAGTGAACCTGTTGGAGACTTTCCTTGCAAATCCATAGATCTGTGGGATCCAGACTGGTTTGGGTTGAAGGGACCTTAAAGCTCATCCAGTTCCAAACCCCTGCCACGGGCAGGGACACCTTCCACTGGAGCAGCTTGCTCCAAGCCCCATCCAACCTGGCCTTGAGCACTGCCAGGGGTGGGGCAGCCGCAGCTTCCCTGTTTAAAGCCATTCTCCTTTGTCCTGTCACTGTATGCCCTTGTCAAAACTCCCTCTCCAGATTCCTCGCCTCCAGGCACTTGGAGCAGGGATGGAGCCAGAGCTCCTTTTCTTTGTGCTACAGTTCTGTTATTTCTCGCCTTTAAGAGTGGGGGCTGCCTTTAGATCTGCTTTTAAAAATGATGTGTGTGACAGTTCACTGGGATTTTAAAAGCGTGTGTGTGTATTTAACCATCCTTTAATGGGAGGAGTGAATCCATAGCTAAATGTGACTTTATTAGAAACAGAATAAAAGTGGCTGGCATAAACTTACTATTATGATTTTTCCCATTTGTCACAACAGGAGGTGAGTTTATTCCATGTATAAGGAAGGGAGCTGCCCTGCTTGCTCTAGTCCTGTATCTGTTCTTTAGGTAGGATTTCCTGAGGTCAGCATCACGCATGTGGATGTGGCTTTACAAATGCTCTTGGTTTTGCACTTGAGGTTTTGCTGCTGGATGAGCCGACTGCAGGGATGGATCCGTGTTCACGGCACATCGTCTGGAACCTCCTGAAAAACAGGAAAGCGGATCGTGTGACGGTTTTCAGCACCCACTTCATGGATGAGGCGGATATCCTCGCTGGTGAGTCCTGCTGCCACCCCCTGGGTACCAGCCTGGGGCAGTGACAGTCCCATCACTGGACAGCAGAAAGTGATGTTTCTCTAAGCATGGAATAAACTCCTATGTGAAATACAGGGGGTTTGAAGCAGACTTTGTCAGTATTCTGGTTCAAGATCCTTCTTGACTTTTGTCTCTAGATCGGAAAGCTGTGATTTCTCAAGGGATGCTAAAATGCCTTGGATCCTCTCTCTTTCTCAAAAGCAAATGGGGAATTGGCTATCGCTTGAGGTATTATTTTTGTGTGATACCTGTTGTGTTGACATCTTGTATCACTTTTTAAATTGCATTCTGTTGCAGTCTGTAAGATGGCATCCCCTTTGTACCGAATGCTTGGTGTTCTCCTATGCTGGTGTAAGGAGAAAAGCTTTAAAACCCCAGTTTCCTGTGTTTTCATAGCATGCACATCGATGCCTATTGCAACACAGAAGCTACAACCTCTCTGATACGACAGCACATCCCTGCAGCCAGCCTGCTGCAGGAGAACGATGAGCAGCTCGTGTACACGCTGCCGCTGAAGGACATGGACAAGTTTGCAGGTACTGAGGGTCCTGTGGTGTTGCAGGGTTGAATGGCTGCAGCAGAGAAATCCGTCAAGCGTGGCTGTAACTTGCAATTCTCATTACGTTGTGACTTCTGCATTTATGTGTTTTTATATGTATTTGTTATCTGGCTGCTGCTTGGTTAAGTAAGGTCTTAGGTGGGTGAGGACCTTGTTGCATCCCCCAAAGGGGCTGTGGTGTAAGAAGGATGCAGGTACCCAACAATGAGGGCTGGGGAGATGCTAACAGAAGGATGAAGAGACCCCTTTGTCCGGGAATCCCCTTGTCCTGCAGAAGCATCATCTTATCACAGAGTGTTTTCATGAGCAGGGTTGGCCTCCAGCAGGAAGCCAGAAAGCCCCAAGTCCTACCAAAATCAATCCCCTCTTGTGAGCTGCAAAGAGCATCGTGTCACTGCCTTAAAATGCACTGTGAGAGGGAGCACAGAGCGGATGTGCCTGATTTCACTAGATGGCAGCAGTTACCTGATCAGTCCTACCCTGGGCTCCTTGGTCACCTCCCAGGGTATGGAAGAAACAGTGTCCCCTTGTGCAAAGCTAAGGGAGAATCAATACTGATGTGAATATGCGGCTCATATTTCATAAATGGCCTTTTCCCCATTGCATTTAACCAGTTAATAATTCATTTGCTTCACCTCTACCAGAAACTGCATGAACTTTCTGGAAAAACAGGCAGGATTGAATCAATTCCCCAAAGCTGTTTCCAGGAGAAGCAGAGGTTGGGAACATGCCTCAGCCACAGGGCAGAAGGAATTGTGGAGATGGGATGAGCATTGTGTATCCGACTGTGCTTCCCATTTTACCTTTCCCTTCAGGGTGATCTTGGCTCTGAAGCTCCTTGTTTTATCAAGTCCTTCACTTCACAGGACTGGCAGAAGGCAGCTCTGAGCCCAGGAGCGTTAGGATGCTGAGGTGTATTTCATAAACACTGCAGTTTCAGGAAAGCATGCCCATTTCTGACCAGACATTGAAGTTTTGTGCTAAAAGGGGCTTATCCCAACCTTGGTTCTCCAGCCATGACCTGTGTCTTCATAACTAAGCAACCATATTCACACATTGCCTCCTTTTCCCCACCATGCAGAAGGCTTTAGGGATGCCTCTGGTGTGCTTGAAGACCTCTTGGGAGGCGGTGTAACCCTGTTTCAGAGCAGGATGCTTCATTTCTGTCCCTAGGTTTGTTTTCTGACCTCGACACCCATACCCACCTGGGCGTTATCACCTATGGCGTTTCAATGACGACGCTGGAGGATGTCTACCTGAAGCTGGAGGTTGAGGCAGAGATTGATCAAGCAGGTGGGGTGGACCATGGCTATTTTCCTGTTTTCCTTCATATCTGAGTTAGCCTTCACTAGTGTAGAGCTGCCCATGTCACTGCCAGAAGGAGCTTTGCCTTGGAGGCAGCAATAACAAGTCCTATTGCAGAGCGCATCAGCTCCTCTGCTCTCACAGCCGCTTCCAGCCTTCTGAAACATTTAACACAAAACCCACTCAAAAGCAGTGGTTTTGGGTGTGGAGTGGTTCTGGGAGGATCCAGGGAAAACCTTTTTACTTGCTGTGTCTGCAGTAGTGAATTTTTCATTTAGGAGCTTACAGCTCTTTGCTTTGTAGTGGTGCTTCTTAAAATGGGCTTTATTGTCCTAATGGAGCTTTACTTTCAAGCAGTTGTGAATGCACAGTGTAAAATCCATTTCCAGCTTTCTGCATGAGCAGTAATATTAAAAGCCTGCACTTAAGGCTGAAATAGATGAACTTGTCTCTTTTTTTCCGCCTCCTTTAAATTAACTTTCAATTCTAATAAAGCTGGGATCACTTAGTGTTACTAAAGAATGAATCAGTTCTTCTTCTGATGTTTACTTTGAATGGTTTAAGCTATCTTAATCTTTCTAGAGCTTTCTGAGTGATACAGGCTAGTAAGCTATCCTGCTCTGCAAAGTTTCTGTGTGGGTATAAGAGGATTTAACAGCTGAATGTGCTGGTACTGACTAACACTAGTACACACGTAGGTTAATGGTGAGAAATTGGGGTGAATACACCTTTTGAGTGGCAGAAATCTATACCAGCTGCTGTGTGTGTGATTCAGAGCTTTGGGTAGATCATTGGCATTGACCTTGGGGTTAAGCTGAGGCACTGGGACAGGATGAGATGGCTGCTGCAATAGCAAGGGGCAGGAACTGATGGCCACCCAGCCCCACCATTTCAAACCATGCTCTGCCAGAGCATCACATCGTAGAGTTTTGCTCTCTTTGTTTCAGATTACAGCGTGTTCAATTCCCAGCAAGTGCAGGATGAAATGGATGCAAAATCCCTGGACGATATGGAGCAGAGCCTCCTGATGCTGTCGGAGACGAAGGCACCAGCAATGAGCAACACAGCCCTCTGGAAGAAGCAGGTTGCCACCATAGCAAAAGTTCATTTCCTTAGTCTCAAGCGGGAAAATAAGTGTGTGAGAGTGATGTGAGTATTGGGGCTTTCTCATTTGTATACATACGTGCTCAAAACCTGTTTGAATGACACAAAGAAAGGGCAGGGTGTGATTAATGTTCCCCCCTTAGTTATATTTAAAACACAATAAGTGATGCTATCCATTACTGGCGAATGCATGCTTTTGTGGGTTGAGGGAGGCGATGTTTAGTAGTACGCACAGAAATTGGGTTGGCTTTGGCTGGATTTTAGTAAACCCCAAACTTCTCTCTCTTGCAGGTTGTTGCTTTTCCTGATTTTTCTTGTAGTTCAGATTTTATTGTTTTTCATACATCACATCATCAAGAATTCCATCGCTGCCATCAAACTCTCCCCTGATTTGTACTTGCTGAAGCCCGGAGAGAGCTCTCACAAGTACAGGAGTAGTCTCCTGCTGCAGAACTCCACAGGTGGGAAGGCAGAGGTGCTCCCGTCTCCCTTCTGTCTTTAAGATAGCGTTTTACAAGGTGGGGAGGGATGATGGGTACAGGTTTGGGGCCTGGGGACAAACCTTTTCCTTGTAATTAACCCAAATGAAGAGTTTCCAAGTGCCCAGAGACAGCAGAGAGTGGGTATCCTTCATGCCATGGGGATTGATCTGGACACCTTCCTCCTCCTCCATGTCTGAGTAGCTTTATGCTCACTATGTCATAAAATGACCTACATGAAGAAACTGGCCCCAGAGCCATTTAGAGCCATCAACATTCAAATCCTGCTATAAAACAGTTTGGAAAATTGCTTTTTGCCTCAACTTGGGATGTTTTAAATCTGCATAGCAGCAAACGCAGGCAATAGGAATGAGTGTCTGAGCTACAGGAAATTGTGTTTAGTGCAACTTAGTTTCTCTGGCCACCATATCAAAGTGTTGCTGGTTTCCTGCTATTTTAGTGAAGTCTCTATTCAACCAATCCTTTGAGTCTCCTGATAGTGCTCATTGCAGCTCTGCCCATTGGACTTGCACAAATGCATTGGAGAATAAAACCATGACATTTTCTTGAGTGCTTTGGAGGCTGTTGAGTGGGAAGCCAAAATAAAGCCATTCATGTTGTTTGGAATGGCAGAGGACTCTCTTTGATGGGTGTAAGGAAAGAGCGATCTTTCTTCATAGGGTGTTGAGGAGGTTTGGAAAAGACACGTAGATGTGGTGCTTAGGGACATGGTTTAGTGCCACTGTGGTTTAGTGGTGGCTTGGCAGTGCTGGGTTAACGGTTGGACTTTATGATCTAAAAGGGCTTTTCAACCTAAACGATTTCATGACTCACCATTGTTTTCTCTTACACCAGAATCTGGTATTGATGACATTGTCCACTCTCTTGGGAGCATGAACATCCTCCTGGAGATGTTCAATGACAGCGATTACGTCTCGGTAGCACCTCACAGCGCAGCTTTAAACGTGCTTGATCTTGCATCCAGACAGGTAAAGAGAGCCAGACTGGTTCAGTCATGTCCCAAGGAGCAGGCGAGCAGCTGGGTTTGTTGTTCTCCAGCCTGAAAGGCACATATTGAGTCATATAATCAAATAATATCATATGATATTGCTTATACAAGAGGACTGTAATGAGGACTTGTATTAACTGAATTGAAATATTATCAAATTATCAAAATGAATGTTCATTCTCCCATAATGATAATTCTGGTAGACCAATAAAACTTCCATCCTTTTTTTCTCCCCCCAAGGATACAAATAGCCAAGAGGAATATTTTACTTTACAAGAGACCTGGCACAGGGATTCATATTTTTTCTTATGCTGGTTGAATTGTACAATTTGATAGAGGTATAATCCCCTAGTGCTCTCATGTGTAAAGAAAATGAGTTTCTTGGGTTGTAAGTGTTCGTTTTGGTATGGTCATTGGAGGGGTGTGAAACAGATTTGAACATTGGGGTCGTATTTAATCTCTAGCAAAGGAACTGCTTTGCAACATGCCAGCTCTGCCTCTTGTTCCCATTTTTATTCATTACCAACTGTTGATATCCGTGTGACAGGGCAGCCCTTGGCTAATGTGAATCTGGGCCTGTCTGGTTTCTAAATGCATTAGGAAGAACATACGAGTGTGGATTGCTGTGGGGTTTGTTTTCCAGACTGTAATTGTCTGGAGCATCATTTGTCACGGTGTCACAGTTGCATAAAACATGCTGGGAATTTATCCCAAATAATTTGTTCTCTGCGAGCATGACTGTTTTCCTGCATTAGGTGGTGTGTTATAACCGCCCTGGTGTGTTATAACCGCCCTGGTGTGTTATAACCGCCCTGGTGTGTTATAACCGCCCTGGTGTGTTATAACCGCCCTGGTGTGTTATAACCGCCCTGGTGTGTTATAACCGCCCTGAGCAGCCCAGAGCCTCATGCAAAGCATCCTCTATTGTGCAAAGATTTGTCCCCATGTTCAGGTTTAATCTAGCCCATAGGAGACCCCTCTCAGGGTGTTACCCTTCATGCAGAAGAATTAATCCAGCACATACTTTCCTTTCCAGAACTATGTTTTCACGGTCATATTCAACAGTACCATGGTGCATTCCCTGCCCGTTTTGATGAACATCATCAGCAATCTACTCCTGCGCAATTTAAACGTGACAGAGAGCATTCAGATCTGGAGCAACCCCTTCATTCAGGTGAGCAGCACAGCAGAAACCACACTTAAAATACAGGATGTTTGCCACCTTAAACAGGGTAGGTGGCAAAGCATCGGAATGACATGAAGAGGACACTTACCCATCCCTGGCAGTGTCCAAGGCCAGGTTGGACACAGGGACTTGGAGCAGTCTGCTCTAGTGGAAGGTGTCCCTGTCCCAGCCCGTGGCAGGGGTTGGAGCTGGAGGAGCTTTAAGGTCCCTTCAACCCAAACCATTCTATGGTGAAAGGTGTCAGGATTTTTGCTGTGCAGCTTGTGAAAGAGGAGGAAAAAGGGGCTTGGAAAGAGGATGTTCTGTTGGGAATTCATTACAAGTTCATTACAGGTTACCTGTTCTTGGGGGCTGAATGTGAGGATGCTGGAGGCCTGCTGCTTTCTGTGCAGAGCTAGGGTAGCCTTCAGGGGAGGAGAGGACCTGCTGCAGGAGATAAATGCAGTAGGAGTTTATTATACACACTTTCAAATACTCCAGAACTTCCATAGGTATTTCTCTTCCTTCTGTGGCTCAGATGATCTTGAGACACACAGAATCTATCAGCATTTACAGTCGTGTTCCAGTTCTAAATGCATTTATTTTGGTCACACACATTCTAGTACTGAAGAAATCTGATTTATATTTCAGAACCTTCCAGACACAATTTTCAGGCTGGAGATCTATTTTGAAGCTGTGTTGCTGGGAATCATCATAACTGGAATGCCACCCTATTTTGCCATGGATAATGCAGAAAACCATAAGGTGAACTCCTGCGTGTTGATTCAGAGAATGCACAAGAACTTGGGATTTGGAGGAAAAATCTGAAGAGGTGTCTTAATTAGTCTTTAATTAACGTGGTGTTCTCTTGTCCCATTGCAGATCAAGGCATACACACAGCTGAAGATAGCAGGGCTTTACCCCTCTGCTTACTGGACTGGGCAAGCTGTGGTTGACCTCCCGCTGTTCTTCTCCATCCTTACCCTGATGATAGGCAGCCTCTTCGCCTTCCACTATGGTGTTTATTTCTATGTGGGCAAGTTCCTTGCTGTGGTGAGTGCAGTGGGGACAGGAGCACATGTAAGCTCCCTTTAGACAGGTACTGAAAGACTGCTCTAAGGTGACAAGAAACCTGGAGAGGGGCTTGGGACAAGGGCCTGAGGGACAGGCCAGGGGGAATGGCTTGAACCTGCCTGAGGGGAGGCTGAGATGAGCTCTTAGGCAGCAGCTCTCCCCTGTGAGGGTGCTGAGGCGCTGGCACAGGGTGCCCAGAGAAGCTGTGGCTGCCCCATCCCTGGCAGTGCTCAAGGCCAGGTTGGACACAGGGGCTTGGAGCAAGCTGCTCCAGTGGAAGGGTCCCTGCCCGTGGCAGGGGTTGGAGCTGGAGGAGCTTTAAGGTCCCTTCCAACCCAAACCAGGCTGGGATTCTATGAAAATGCTTAATTGAGGCTGCTGGAGCAGAGGCACCGGTCAGGCTGCACCAAAGGCAAAACAGTAGTACTTTTCATGGAGAAAACCACTCACATTTTGGAGTTCTATTCAGAACTGGAATAAAACAAAGCTTTAACATACAAGGACCTTCCAAGGAAACGCTCCGTCCTTTTTTGCTCTGCTTGCTCAGTCTGCTTTGTGCTTTTTGCTGCTGATTGATAATTGCTCCCTTTGCATCAGCGTGCTGCTAATGACAAGGTTACAGTGACTTTGAGCACGGAGCAGCTCCACAATGAATTGCAGGATGTGAATGAAGTGAAGAGGCTACAAGTCTTCATGTCTTTTGTATTCACTGTGGGCTTCCCTGAGATATTGGCTGTAATTGAGAAGAATCAGATTCTCCTCGCTGCTTTCCCAGAGCTCTTGAGTTAATCAGGTTTGGGATGTGACTGTTGTGCTGCAGGGCTGCTTTATCCTTTACCCTTGCTTTCGTTCCTGTGCAGATTCCAAGGTTGAAGGTGGAATTCATAATATTTACCAAAATCTTGAGGCCCACATTTATGGGAGCCTGTGTTATTTAAACAAGGGGAAATAGTTTAAAGGAAACTGAGCGGGTGAGGTTCCTGCCTATCCACATACTCTTATTCATGTCTTTGACAGTGTATATTGTATGTACCAAGGTGTGTATGTACCAAGTTAAGCAACACAGATGAATCCAGAGTTATAAAGCACACTGAAGTAATTCCAGTTATACCGAGCATCCACCCCTGGGCTCTTGCTTTCCTGAGAAACCTCTCCTCTCGTTGCAGATTTTCTGCCTGATAGGTTATGTCCCATCAGTCGTGCTCTTCACTTACGTGGTCTCCTTCACCTTTAAAAAGGTCCAGAATACAAAGGAATTTTGGTCATTTATATTTTCAGTGGTGAGTAACTTCACCTCGGTTTTGGTTAGCTGGGGAGAGCGGTTATCTCCAGAGCTGTCTTATTGCGCTGTGTGTCCTTAATGCACAGGAAATCTGAACCGTTCACTAATGTGAATTACTGTCATATCCTGCATGATAAAAGCTCTAAATAACGTACCTCAAATTAGATTATTTGTGCTTAGAGAGTCTGAACTAAATGAAAATTAACTTTTTTCCCCCTTTTCTTTTGTACAGACAGCCTTGCTCTGTACTGTTGTCACTGAAGTGGCCTTTTTTCTGGACTATTACCTGATAACCACTGTCCTGCATTATGTCTTCTCCATCTTCATTCCCATTTACCCCCTTATTGGCTGCCTGATTTGTTTTATAAAGGTAAGGGGGGATACAGGAGATCCTCTCCACAGTGCCTGTAGATGACTGGGGCTGGGTGGGTGTTTGTAAGGATAACGGGGCAGCAGTGGTGTAACATCATCTATAGCCATTCAACAAGCGAAAATTAGCAACTGCTGCTGAAGAGTCACCTTCATCCTGAAAGTGAAGTGTTGCAGCTCCAAAATAAGGAAAGGAGCAACTCTTCCATTAAATATCTAAAGGAAAACCATGTATTTCTCAGCCTGTGGACTGAACATACCCAGAAGTGGGAGAGGGGTTCATTGGGAGCCAGTGGCTTTAAACCAGGAGCAGCTGCAGGGACTGTGATGGAGTTTTAGTGGGGTTGGATTTGTGCAAGCAGGGTCTTTGCAGAGCTCAGAAAGTGCTTGAGCAATGTAACTTAAACTGGAGAGTTAAGTGGATTGGAGACTGAAGTGCAGTATAGAATAAGCAGTCTCTGGTAGGTGGTTATTTACCTGGATATGTTTTTCCTCATTGTCAGGTCTCCTGGAAAGGCAAGCGGAGGAACGGCGGATACTACGACCCATGGGACCGGCTCCTGGTAGCAGTTCTAGCTGTAAGCATGGTTATTGGATTATTTGCCATGTTGCTGTAGAGAATTACCAGCTCCTTCTGGGAGGCCCCTCTGTTCAGGCATCTTTATTAATAAAGATTTGATCTAACACTGAGCATCGCTGGAGCCCGCAGCTTTTGCAACCTGTTGCTGTGTGAACAGTACTAGTAAAGCTGCTGTGCCTACCAGGTCAATGTCTGCTACTGCAGCAGCCCCATCAGTGGTGCCAGTATTTATCCTGATTATTGGAGTCCACATTGATGGAGCAAGAGCTGGAGCAGGGGACAGCCCCTTCTCTCTCTAGAAACCCCACATAGAATCATAGAATAGTTAGGGTTGGAAAGGACCTTAAGATCATCAAGTTCCAACCCCCCTGCCATGGGCAAGGACACCTCGCTCTAAACCATATCACCCAAGGCCTCATCCAACCTGGCCTTGAACACTGCCAGGGATGAAACATTCACAACCTCCCTGGGCAACCCATTCCAGTGCCTCACCACCCTCACAGGAAAGAATTTCCTCCTTATATCCAATCTAAACTTCCCCTGTTTAAGTTTTAACCCATTACCCCTTGTCCTACCACTCCAGTCCCTAACGAAGAGTCCATCCCCAGCATCCCTATAGGCCCCCTTCAGATACTGGAAGGCTGCTATGAGGTCTGATTGCTATTATATCTAAGCAGGCTCTGGTTGCGCTCACCTTCAGTGTTGATCCACTGAGCAGCGTCCTGGAAACATGAGCACTTCTGTGGTTGTGAAGAGCTGGGGCTTCTTGTTGCTCATTACACTGGTGGGATCACCTGTAGGGCCACCAGCCTTGGAGGGCCAGCAGTGGTCTGAGTAACCAGATTGTATTTGTCTGTTTTAGCCCTATTTGCAGTGTGTGGTGTGGCTCTTCCTCCTGCGGTGTTTCGAGCTGAAGAATGGAGGGAGGACAGTGAGAGAAGATCCATTTTTCAGGTCTGCCTCTCGAATAGACTTTAAGGATGCTTTTGAAAGTGATGCTGGTGATGAAACTGGAGTATGCCGTGTATAGCTATGGGGGATGTTGCAGAAAATGTAATACCTTTGGTTATATCCTATCCCAGGTGTCTACAGAATTTGCTCTCCTAATTTTAGTTGTCTGAAATTCAGTCACTAAAGTGCAGAAATGGGTTTTTACTTTCCTTTAAGTTGTACCAGTGCAAAATCAGGAGTTTTGTAAGGACATCACCTATAAAAAACCAGGGGAACTTCCTTTCCCACTGCAACTCCCTTTACCAACAAAGAGCTCAGCATAAAGATGACATAGTTGCAGCTATTGACATCTCTTGGGGCTTCTCATATGTGCTGCAGAAACGTGTTACTCCCAGGGTTGGCAAACACAAGTTGCTTTCTGCATCAGAGCAGCGAGCAAATCTCAGCTGGATGCTGAGCAGCGGCATCACGTTGTTTTCTTCCCCTTAGAAAGTGCTTTACAAAAGCCAAAACCTGGAAGTTTCCAGATGTGCCACGTGATGAGAATGAAGATGAAGATGTGAAGGCAGAGAGGCTGCGAGTACAAGAAGTGCTGAGCAGCCCCAAAAGTGAGGAGGTAACGCTGTGGTGCTACCCAGAACCTGGATTTGGAGCTTTCCCAGAGTTGCTGATATCCACAGCCTCTTCTCCCTCCTGTTCTAGATGCCAGCAATCCTGGTCAGCAGCTTGCACAAAGAGTTTGATGAGAGGAAGGAATTTCTGCTGGGGAGAAAAATAAAGAAAGTGGCAACAAAACATGTTTCTCTCTGCGTAAAGAAAGGTTGGAGTTCAGCTACTGGCTGTTGAGCTGTTTTAGTTACAGCAACAACTCTTGAATCCATTTGCCTGACTTCATGGGCAATGTTTTGTGTTCCTCTTTCTTTAGGGGAGATCCTGGGTTTGTTAGGACCCAATGGAGCTGGGAAAAGCACTTTGATTAATATGCTCGTTGGAGAGATTGAGCCAACCAGCGGGCAAGTACGTTATGTGCCACAAACAGAAAACGAATGTATTATTATTATTATTATTATTATTACTATTTTATTATTATTATTATTGCAAACATTCCCAAGTGTTCTTTACTAAAACTTTACAAAACCAGCTCTGAAACTTACAACACTGAGTAAGGTTTGTGTTTTTTCCCTCGCAGGTTCTGATGGGAGATGATGCTTTTGGCCTGCCCAGTGAAGACGACTCAGTGAAATTTGTGGGCTACTGTCCTCAAACAAACCCTCTTTGGCCAGATATTACATTGCAGGAACACTTTGAAATTTATGGTGCTATCAAAGGAATGAGTCCATCTGATGTTAAGGAAGTCATAAAACGGTAAGTAGTTTGTTATAGGCATGTTTAAGGTTAGCGATGCTTTTCTTAGGGGTTGGTTTATTGGAGGTTAATTCCACTTTCCCTAATATAATCCTTTTTCCCTTTAAGTTTAATGGGATCTTTTCAGCAGACTCAGCACGTGTGAATTGTAGGTGAGGAGATACAGGTTAAACCATGCAAATTCAACTGGCATTTGTAGTTTCATATTCTCATTAAAGTTATGAAGTGCTGTTGACAACCTTTGCAGAGGATGGGGAGTTGGGGCAAGAAGGTGTTTCTGGGCTGTCACCACAGGCTGCCCTGGGACACAGGGATGGTGGGTTTTGTATGGAATCACCCAGCTCCAGTTCTGCTTATTGCTCTGCTTTCTATATACCTTATATCCAAATGTTTGTAACGGTGTTCTTCCAATGAGACTGTTTGCATGCAGTGTGATGAGGGGAAAGCCAAGCCATCACTCTCAGCTTTTCACATGAGGTCCTCCCCCTTCTGCAGCATCTCAAGCGCCCTGGATTTAAAAGATCACCTGCAGAAGACAACAAAGAAGCTGGGAGTGGGTCTAAAGCGCAAGGTATGGGGAAGATGCTCAAGCTGCCCATGTGGGGTGTCCTTAGCATCCGTGGGGTCCTTACCCTGTCCCTTTGCCTTCCTCCCAGCTGTGCTTTGCTCTCAGTATGCTGGGCAACCCGCGGGTCACACTCTTGGATGAGCCCTCGACTGGGATGGATCCAAAAGCCAAGCAGCACATGTGGTGAGTGCTGCCAGGGCTATGCTGACCACAGGCTTGGTCTCTGCCCAGTTTTATGTGTGCATTATCCCTGTTAACACTAGGGAGAGCCATAGACAGGGAATGCATCCTTAGTGCCAGGTGCACTTCATCTGTGTCCTCTTCCAGAACAGCTTGGAGATTTAAGGCTTGGAAGTGGAAAGAAATCTTCAAAGCAATATAAGGAGTGTAGATTTGAGTATGTTTGTGAAAAATTCAGGTGTTAATTATAGTAGTGTTGCTCCATAAAATAGAGGATTTACATTGACCATCACGGTCCCCTCTTCCTGGTAACCCAGGCTTTACTGTTTCATGAGAAATGTTTTATTCAGAGGTTTTCTTGGTTGTGTTTTGCAGGAGGGCCATTCGAGCAGCGTTTAAAAATAAGGAGAGAGCAGCAATCCTGACCACTCACTACATGGAGGAGGCGGATGCTGTCTGTGACCGTGTGGCCATCCTGGTGTCTGGGCAGCTCAGGTACCACCGAAGCCCTTCCTGCAGGGAGGGTAGGACAGCAGCCAACTAGAATATATTGCTAAAACTATAGATAGACAATTTGTTATGCACTTGGAGCAAAATTGAGCTTTAAGCTGCAGTAAATGGTCTGTAAGGAGTTAAGCTGCTTTTTGAGGTGTTGTAATAAGTGCGACTCTCCTTTTCTCTCTGGGACTGGTAGATGTATAGGTACGGTCCAGCACCTGAAGAGTAAGTTTGGCAGAGGATACTTCTTGGAAATGAAACTAAAAGAAACAGCAGATGTACAGCAGGTGGAGTATCTGCAGAGCCAGATTCTGCACATCTTCCCGAACGCAAATCGCCAGGAAAGGTGAAGTTGAACAAGTGCATGGGACAGGTTGATGTTACGAAAGCCCCGGATTCCTCAGCAGTTCCTTGGCACCGAGGAGGGAATGCCAGGATAGTAAAACTTACACCAAATATTTACACATGGCTTAAAAACCAAGACAAGGGAGGGTTTTGCAGGCCAGCAGAAGCTGCCAGGCGATGGCTGCGAGCCCTGCTTGCAGATGTTCAGCACGGAGGAAGCAAAACCCCATTTCTGCATAACTGTTGCCTGACGGCTTCCTCCTCAGTTGGGGCCCTCGGGAAACGGGTAAAATCTGAGTCACTGGCCCTTGTCTGGAAATGCTTCAGTGTTTTCGGGGGGGTACCTCGGGGCTTGAGGGTGGGTTGGGTGGTTTTCTTTCAACAGCTTTGACTTGCTGTATGAACTCAAGGGTCTGGCTTGGTGAAGCTCTCCAGAAGGGCACTGAGGGTGTTGTGTAAGGAGTGTTCCTCAAATGGGGCAGATCTGGAGGGGAGGGTTCAGTTTACAGAAGCAAACGTGTGGGGTAGAGCAGCTCTCTGTTCTGGAGTGTGGGTTGCGGGAACCACTGCATGATGCAGAGTCCCAGTAGACCCTGTGGCCTCTGCCTGAGTTCATTTGAAAGGCAAAACCTCACAACCACAGGAGTTCCGGGCAGTGATTTTTCTTTCATGAGTTTATAAGAGAATACAAGTGGTTGAATCCAAGCTGAAGAGCATGAAACACAAAGCAGTCTCAGGGGATCACAGCTGGTGCACCTGGGCCTGGGTCTCTGATAGGGTTATAAACCAGCTGGTCTGGAGCTGTGTCATTCCTGTTGTCTTGTATGATGGTAACTAGTTGAAATCCCTGGAGTAACCCTCAGAAAATGAGTTTAAATCCCTTCAGTTAAATGCTGATGTTTTTGCTTTGAGTAACCTCACCTGAAGCTGGATCTTCTTTGTTTCTGTATTGCAGTTTTGCTTCTATTTTGGCATATAAAATTCCTAAAGAAGATGTACAGTCACTTTCACATTCTTTTTCCAAGCTGGAAGAAGGTAATTAAGCACTTGCCATGCGCCACATACAGAAATCATTTTGTCCCCCCTAACCAACACTTTTGCTATGAGGTGGCACTTCTGCATGACTGTTCCAAATCTATTTGATTTATGTTTTCTATTATTATTGCTGTCTCAACTCTGTTTTGTGTGAAATCGAGAGTAAGCACTTGTAGCAGCTTAGAATGCTTTAAATCCAAAGGTATCAGGTAGTGAAGCATCCCTAAATGTGCTCTCATTAATTCTTTCAACAGTAAAACACGCCTTTAACATTGAGGAGTACAGCTTTTCTCAGGCAACACTGGAACAGGTATGTTAAAGCAAATGGTACTTTGTGGAAGTAAACCCTGCCAGGCAAAGGTGTTGCAGGTCTTTTGATGGGGTTTTTGCAGACATATGGGGTGGATTCAGTTTGTACTGGCTATATAGAATATAGAGGGGTTGAGGAGTCCTGTACAGGCAGCTTGTGCCCTGTGCCCGGCTTTCAGGCAGCTGGGGCTGCTCTGCTCAATGCCTGTTTGGGTATTTTTGGGTACCTGAAATTCCCTTTTTCAAAGTGAATTGGGACTGCTAGTTCCCTGAAATGGAGGGCTTAATATTGCTTATTCTGTATTAGTTATTGCTGACCATAAATGTCCTTCAGCTTCCTTTTCACTGTTCTCCTGAAGAGCTGAGTTGGGAGGGTAGGAGCAAGGAGAACAAACCCCAGAATACTAAAAACTTCCTACTTGGAGATGAAGCAACACATTCAGTACTCGTGAGGCTTTTAGCATGAATTCTATTAAGAAAGTTCCTACAAGGAGCGTGGTGTATTCACTCCCTTTGTCTGCCCCAGGTTTTTGTGGAGCTTGCTAAAGAGCAGGAGGAGGAGGACAGCGCCTTTGGCACCCTGAACAGCACACTGTGGTGGGAGAGGACACAGGAGGACAGAGTTGTTTTCTGAGCTCCTCATGGCCCAGACCTGGGCAGCCGGTGTGTTGTGCCAGCAATGATCCTCTGTGCAGACATCAGGGCATGTGTGGGGGAAACACCCGAGCTGGGATGGAGAAGGAAGTTGTGTCTGGAAGCACGGAGCACATTGCACCATCCTGGCCTTAGGAATATCGCCGCAGTGGTGGTGAGCATCCCCACTGTTGTTCTGGCTGACCTGGAATTCCTCCTTCCTTTGCTGTTTCCCGGTTTGCATTGAGCAAGAAGATGCTGCCACGACAGTCGGTCATCTCCTGGTGTTGGTGGCTTGAGCAGGAGCACCAGCCTGCCTTCCTCCCTCAGCCGTGCTGTGCTGAAGTTGGGATCCTTACTGGAGATCCTGCATCTGAGCTAAACCAGTTGCTGTTGGAGCATCCTGCCCTGTGGGACCTGCTCACTGGGTATTGCCTTGCCCCATGCCCTTGGCTGGGTATTGCTGCCTGCCCAACGAGGTGCCATGCAGACACATACCCCTGCAAGGTCCTGTTCTCCCACCGGTAGCTCCGTCCCTGCTTATGCTTAGACGATGCACCTACTTATAAGAGAAGGGCAAAGCCACTCCAAAGTAATCTTATTCACTGCAAAGAGGGTCCTGAATTCCACTGCGAGCTTAGCTTGGTATCCAACCAATGTGAAAATGTTCCTTTACACATATAATATGGCACTTGTTGGCACACATACTCCTTCCTCTTAGCAGCTGTGGATGATTCCTGCTGCTGATATGGGAGGCACTGGTGTTTGTAATGCATGCACTGTAGGGTTCAGGGGGTGTACAGAAGTGGATGCTTGCTTTCCCCTGCTTGGTGAGAGTACAAAGACATAACTGTGTAGCTACGGGGTTTGCAGAGCTGTGAGTATTCCCTTGTCTTCATTACAAAGTCCTAATTCTTTTGTTGGGTGTAACAACATGTATCCTGCCAGTTGCTTTTAAAGACAGTCCTTCTTAGATGTCTTCCTTTTCCTTGACAGTGATTTCATAAGTACATGCAACAGTATTTCCTAATCCGTCTTTGTTGTGATAGCAGTAAGTAATGCAGCAGTGTGCTCAGCACAGGAACGTTTGCTTTGTCTTAGAAGCACTAAGAAAAGCAGGATAGGTGGTCCTTTAGCCTAAGGTATGGCAGATGTAAGAAAATATATATATATATTTTGGTTTTCTACACAAAGCTGTCATCACTTCTTTTAGTTTTATAACGTAAAATTAAAGATTGCTAACAGTTCATTGTGTTCTGCAATGAATAGATACAGAGATGCATTTATATCAAGACACTGGCTTCATAAGTCATATCAATTATGCATCTTCGCATTAGAGGTAGAAAAGACCTTTGTTTTAATTGCAAACATTCAAGAAACTATGGGTTAAGGCAGAGTTGTGTGTCCCAGCTGTTTGTATGTATCAGGCAATAATGTATGTTATATGTCTGATAGTGATTTGTCAGCATATTGAGCCCAAACCTGTTGTCATTAGTTTCTTACTTTACTATGGGGAGATGTGACCTCTTTATGTACAACCTTTGCTTCCTCTTCTGTACCCGTAGAGTGCATCAACATGTTCAGATTTTGTTCTGTAGTTAACATTTGAGCCCAAGAACTGCAGGAACACGTGGACATCCCATCTGCTTCCCCAGGGGAAGGTCCAGAGCACAGACCATGAACCTTGCTGTTTTGTGGAGCCCTCAGCCATGGTATTTGCGTATGCCCTAATCTCCTGTGCTGGAAACAGAATGGAGGTAAAGAATGGGATTAAAGCACCAGTCTGTAAACTGCAGCTCCAGTTTCAACCTTTCTAGGGGTGAGGCTTCCCTATAAGAAAACTAAAATGACCAAAATTCAGCTCTTTTATTTAGCTCCTAGGAACCTCCATCCCATTGCTCCCAACTGCATCCCTGCTGCTGCCATCTCTGAGCATTTTCCTTTATTTGGAGCAAAGGGGGGACCCAGAATTTTGTCTTCAGATGCTTTCCCATGTATGTACATACAAGCTAGGTGTCTTCTCCAAATCCCACCTTTCTTACTTCCATCTCCCTTTTAATGGTGTTTCAGCTGTTGTGTGCACATCTGTCCAACAATGTACAGCACTATGAACTTAGCAAAGTACAACTGTGACCTGTCAGCCTTGATGCCTTCTTTTAACTTTAAGTTAAAGTCAAAGTTAATAGTCTGTAAAATAGCTCTGGACTGTCTGGATAACATCACCCTACTTCAAATGCTTTCTTATTTTCTAATGTTTCAATTGGATCATAAGAAAGCTTCTATTAGCAGCATTATTTGCTCAGCTTGGTACTGATCTTGTTTATTCTGGAGTAACCCAGGTGATGGTGGCACTGTATTTATGCAGCTACACATCCAAAGAATTTGGCTCCTTAGATGTGTGTTTGGGTGGGATCTTTTTGGTGTGGGGACATAGAGTCAATGTGGGACAAGATGCCACCTCAAACATTGATGTAATCCTAGTGGATTGTATCAGAAGTCTTTCGGAGTGTCACACGATGGCTGTAGTTGCCAGAATTGGGGAAAACACATGCAAAGTTACATTCCCAGGGGATTCTCTGGTTGGAGAGCTTTATTCCTGCAATTTTAAGTCCCTTTGTTCACGCCAGATCGCAGCCGCACAATTTACACACCCAGGTTGAGCTCTAGCAGATAAAACTGAGACATCGCAGCTGGATTTAGGCTGACTGTGGGACTTGGAGTAAATCAGTTCAGTTTATGCCACTGTTACCGGTTCCAGTGGGTTCCACACCTTGCAGGGTGGTTGTGAGAGATAGTTATCCAAAGCTTGGAAGATGTGTTTGCTTTGTGCTGTTATTATAAGGTTGTATTTTTCTATGGAGGAATTGAATGTGTCTGATTTCATTTATGTCCCCAAGAAAAGCCTTTCTTTAAAAAGCTCTCTGTATAGAAAGTGAAGCCTATTGTGTAGACAACATCCAGTACTCTGGTAGCAGACACAGAAGGTGTTGGGTCTGAAGGTGAAACGGTGGTAACGCTCCTCCTGATGTTGCTGTTGGGCGCTTTGAGTCATTGTGAGTTTAATTTATCCACTTGTGTGTCTTTTACCACTTTGTTGTGTTTGTAAGGTCGAGGTTTTTCCTTTTCCAGCAAAAAGTACTACCAAAATAAAGATGGATTGGATTGTTAAATGCCTGTGTTTCTATCATGCGTGTGCTTTGATGCTAGAAATAAGGGGGTTGATTTCAAAAGCCTTTGCTGTTCCTGGGGTGCAGTAAGGCTTGCAGGTGAGTGGGCTCAGGCAGAGCATGGGGGGTGGTAGATACAACTGGGGGTGTCAGGCTGCAATAATTCCCTATTTTAAATCGAATTCAGGGAATTGCAGCATTGAGACACTTGGGATTTGACCGCCCACAGACAGATGAATTCAGCCCAACTTCAGGCTAGAAGTGACCCCACGGCAGCTGCGTGCTCCTGGCACACCGTGTCCTGCATCTGCAGGATGAATCCATTCATCCACTTGAAAATCAACCCCAATGAAAAGATAATAACCCATTGTTGTGGTTGGAACCTAGGATGAGCTTGCTTGGGTGGCTGGATGGGTGCTTGTGAGGGTGGCTGAAGCTGGACCATGAAACAGGGATGGAGTGCCTTGCATGCTCCTTGCCTGAGGAGGAGGAGGAGGTCCACCTTCAGCCCTGTGGGTCACCTCAGGACTTAGCAAAATGAAAGGGGATTGTGCTCCCTGAACCCCTCAGTGAGGAGGAAAACAACCCCTCAAAAATTAATTTTGGGAATCTGAATTTGGGTGTAGTTTGGGGGTTAAAAATGCATTTTTCTGTAGATAATGTGCAGGCGTGCCAGGGCCCCATGCTGCACCAGGCACTGCCAGCAAACTATAGCACAGGATGTGTGTCAAAGTAGTGTTTTTGTAGTGAAGTGCATCCCAGATGTGCCTTCTGCAGTGATGAGCAGCCTTCCCCATTCTCCCCTTTTGCCCAATGGGAAGTAATGCAGGGAAAGGCTCTGCTCCTCTCCTACATAAACTCATTCCTTGTAAATGAGTAAATTGGCAGCTGCAGATCTACAGCCTTTTGTTAAGCAACAACCAGATGGCTTTTGTGTTCAGGTTTTTAGTCAGCTCTGCAGATCAGATGCAGGGTTTTCAAGCTATTGATGTTCCAGGACAACCAAATTCCTTTAGCTAGCTGAATCGTGTGGCTCTATGCTCATTTGGAGTGTACCCTGGCATACCTGTTTTCCTCACCTGCCTGTTGTGAGCACAGATGCACTGGAAAGCTGTTTTTTGGAGCACCCAACAACCCCCATCCTGATTCCAGCTGTGAGGCAGCTGCTGGAAAAGCTGCCGCAGGGGAAAGCTGTGCAAAAGGAGTGGAAAATCAAATATATTAAAACCAAAGAGGAATTGAGAAACAGAAATCCCACTGGTCCTTAGGCACTGGATTTGCCTCTGGAAAGGAGGGAGCTTCCTCTGCTCAGGCTCTGGGGAGCTGAGATGTGAAGCTTCCCTCCAGAGAAGTTCAGGCAGGGATGAGGTTGCTTTGCTTTAGGAGCTCGCATTCACCCCATCTCAGGACCCCGGCTCCTGGTAGAACCATGCACACAATGCACGAGTTCTATTAAACGCTGCCCATCACAGTGTTAGTCTACCCAGGCGTTAGGCTGGGTGGTTGCAGGTGTTGCTCCCCCCTTGGGTCATTGCTCCAGAAGCACTGAGAGCATTCCCACCTCCGGGACCGGACTCTGACGTCGGCTGGAGAGGGGCAAGGCCACCGGGCTGTGATACAGCTTTGAACCCTCTCCAGGGCTGTGAGGAGGCGCAGAACCCAGGCACCTCAGAGCTGGAGGAGACCTGTTCCCCATGGAAAGCACATTACCCGGTAAGGAGCTTCATTTCCCTCTCTTGTTAAGGGAAAATCTCTGCCTATGGCACTTCCGTGCAGCGGCTGCGTTTGATCATTTTCTTTCCTTACTGTTTTAATGCGGTGTCATGCTGTAAGAGCTGCGCTTTCCAGCTCTGTTCTCTGGCAAACCCTAAGCTTCACATCAAAATGCTTAAGAGGCAAAGAAGCAAAACTATTCTGCTTTTCTGGGTGTGATTTTGATTCTCGCTGCTGATGTACTTTGGCTCGAGACAAAGCTGCAGGTTGAGCACAGGCTCCTTCCAGCTAAGTATCCCCCCCTTCTCCAGCCGTGCCATTACCAATGTAAAGGCTTCTACGAGCACAGACCCCCAAACTTCACTTCTCTATGAATTCAAGTGTTGAACGTTGATGCAGAGCAGGCTTAGAGCTGTTTTTCCTCCAGTTTGGAATTTAAAACTGTGTGTTAAAGAGCGGAGTCAGTACAAACCTCTCCCATGTTTACCAGGAGTTAGACAGGGCTGCGTAGGGGTCAGATGCACGTCTTTGTTTTCGCACTGACTGGCAAGCAGCAGGGTTTATAGTGAGCACGTTCACCTCTGCACTCTCCACGTGCAGGGGTTGATCACTGGCTCTTGGAATGCTGGTGGCTCCTCTGGGAAGGAGCACGCTGCTTTCTTCATAGCCAGCATCGAGAGGTTCCTGCCAGTGCTCCTGAAGAGCTCGTCATGATATGCTCTGTTAGGTTTTAATTAGAGGGAAAACAAGTCTGAAGAGGTGGCAAATGGGAAATCCCTGCGATGGTAAATGAACAAAGTGGTTCTTTGGGACATGGCTTCCTGGGGCAACCTTTGGTATAGCAATGATAGACACAGCATCCCACTAAAAGGGGAGTGTGTTTGTGGAGAGCAAGAAGTTTGGGTGCATTTAGTGAGCCCTGGGGAAGGGAAATGCTTCCAGAGGCATCCAGTCTTTTACAAGTGATGCTCTTTACTGATTTAAAGCTTCTCAAACAACCCTTGCCTCTAAATAGATTTCTGATGCTAGGTTTTGTCTTCTGAACCAGCAAGTTTGAATTTCAGGTCTTGTAGAGGTGTGAGTCCCACTTACGTTTCATGCCTTTTGATATCTAATTGAAAGTTAAATTCTTCCTGATGAAGTCTGTGCAGCCTTTTCAGGCAGCATCACTTGTTTGAATTTCTGGCTTTGCGTTCCCAGTATTTGCTTCTTGTTCCACAGGCAAAAATAAGATTAGAACTGGTAGAAATTTAGTTGGAATTTCCTAAAACCTTTCAGAATTGCTCCATCTTTAGTCTTAATGAAGTGTTTGTTATGTCTGCAGACATTCGGTGCAGCTCTTACAAGAGCACGCATTTCCAGGTTACCCAAATACTCCAGCGTGAAGTAAACCCTTGTTTACTGCCCCAACATCCGTGGGCTGCTGCTTGAGTTCACAGCAGCTGAAATCCAGACCTGTGCAAAAACACAGTAATGCTTCCTAGAAATCCCTTCTGGATTGCCTTTAACCTTCACTGCAGGCTGCAGCAGGGCAGCAATGGAAAGAGCTCCAGGCAGGGAAAGCAGAGCGCCAGGGAGATAAGCCTTGTGCTAACAGTCAAGAGAATAAACAGGGATTCTGGATCCATTGCCCCTGGAGTATGCAAATATTGAACTCTTCCAAAAACAAACAGTGAAGGGAACAGAGTAGTAAAACCATTTATTAACTCCAGCTGCCCAATGTGTGCAATCGGGAAGTGATGTCCAAGGGGAAAAGAGCACCGAGCGTTTGAGCTTGCTTTGATTTCTTTTGGTTCCAGCCATTTTAAAGGATTAAAATACAACAACATGTTCTGAGGTTGCCTCCCCTGCTCTCTTCCTGGGGAGGTTGTGAAACCGGTTGCTCTGAAGTTGCGATTGTTTTTGCACAGGATATTTGCTGCTTGGCCGCATGGTTAATATGTAGAAATAGGAATATCCCCCAATAGATACCCCCTGGTTAGTATTTCGAAGGATATAAAGAAACACATTGGTGGGTTAATGTTCCCCTGCCCTGTCTGTCTCAAAGCTATAATACATTATATTAGCTTTTGGGTGAAAATGGAACAAATTGACTCCTTTTAGCACTCAGGAGCTGGACTTGACCCTGCTGCAGATCATGCATGTGTTAAGTAGTTTGAATAGCTGCATAAAAAAGAACATTAAAATGTAGAACTGCTTTCTTCTATATGATTTATTCTATATGCCATTCAATCTTCTCACATCTTTAGTACAGGACAGACTGGCTTTTCCCTGTTAATTTTGTGTACATGAAGAATCAGACTATAGCCAGTTGAATGCCTCTTTCTGCAATGCCTGTTTGGATGAAGGATGAATCTGTGCAAGTGGAAAAGGCAGCTTAGTTCAACCCAGGTCTCTGTTCCCTCGGGTTATCTTGGACTGTTTCCTTCCAACTTCTCCTTGGTTTGTCCAAACTGTAAAATGGAGGGAAGTTCTTAACCTTTGGCATGGCATTGGTGTTTACCTGAATAAATATATTCGCTTCCAGTGTCCTGTTTTATTCTATGACTGTATTCTAAATAATAATACTTTCTTTCTCTTCCTAGATGGGAAAATGCAGGGGATATTCAAGAAAGCCTCAAAAATACTTCAGCAAACCCAAGCTCTCCTATGGAAAAATATCCTTCTGGTGTGGAGAAGGAAGACAGAAAGTTTTCAGGCAAGTATTGCTTCTCTCAAAGGTTAGGATTTCCACTACGGATGATTTTTACTTGGCACTGTTTTTATGCTGGGTGATGCATGAGAAACCTCATCTGGTAAAGTGGTTCTCTGGAAAATGTCAGACACTACAATATCACAGTGTAAGAAGGTCTTGTTACAAATCTGGCTTGTGGCTTTTGGTTGTTGATCCCATTTCTGCACTGCCCAGAGGAACACAATGTCCAGCTCATGGTTACGGGTATAAAATCAACAGCAGACCTCGTTGGCTCCAGTGCTAAGAAAACATGTTTTTCACTTCAAACATCTTCATATTTTAAAGTTATTATACCTGTGAAATGGTTCTTCATCACGTACGAAAGGCAGCATTAATGGCTGGAGGAGCTGGACCATGCATAGCAGAGCTGGATGAGGAGATGCTTCCCATACCACCCAACCTCCAAGTCATTGGGCTGTGACTCACCTCTGCATTTCCTCCCTTTCACTAGGAGTGGATCACATCGGTGGTTTTCCTCTTAATAATACACACATCAGCAAGTATGATATACCACTACCCACGGCAAGAAATCCCTTACGAGTTCCTGGGACGGCTG